TTGCAATTAGGAATCATTCAACTACCCATCTTAACAGAGAAGAGGGCATGTAGCCTGTAGGAATACAAGTTACTGAACATGTTGAAAAATCGTGATCTATTCCTCAACATATGTGAAACCCCAAGGAAAATTTGAAAAAAGAAAAATTTAAAAGAATCATCCTTTTCAGCACAAGCATTCAAAGATCTATTAATTGGTTCTGATGGGAGTTCTCTTTTCCTAGTCTTCCTGTGATTGTTCCATTAAAGATCCTTTTTAGCACAAGCCGTTGAGAGATCTTCTAGCAGTATCTTCTGCTATTTGCCACTTCCTTACCTCCTCTCCCCTCCAACCAAACAAGATGCAGAAATACACTAACAGGCAGTAACAATAAATAAATTTGATTCTGAAAGCACAGACTAGATACACGCATCTTTATGATCCAAGTAACGTCTTGCAACAAAGCAAATATGTAAGATCAACTGACCAATGCAAGTGCATGTAAGAATACGTTCCCCAAATGAAATTACTAAACTTCGCAAGAGTCATTTTCTTCCATGCCAGTGTCTTATAAGCAACAGATGATCGTAAAAATGCAATTGCACGGTAAAGCCACCTTAGGCAACGTTTGGTACATTGGAAAATGTTTTCTAGAAAGGAAATGGGAAATGCACCTAGAAAGGAAAAGGGATAGATGTATTTCTCATTTCCTTTCTAGAAAACACTTTTCTACATAACATCGCATTAAGGGATGCAATCTATTTTCCCACAAGCACACTGCGGTCATTTCATTTCATCAAAAACAAGTTTATAAGCCATTACATTCCATCCATTTTACTGCAACTTGCAAACAATGGTAAAGGAGGTTCTCCCTTCCCTCATTAATACACCCATCAATGGAATGGCACATACTTGCTATTCTATTCCTTCATAAACCCAAGAGAATTATGCATCCAGAAACTGGAACGTCCTTTGATTCTATATAACAAGTATCTCAATCATTTAACTAAGATGTCTTTCTCAGATATATGTTCCGACGCAGACATAATGGAAATGACCTGCACAACCAATCATTCTTAGAATAATATTACAGATATGGACAGGATTGTGGAGGCCAATTCTTCATGTAAAAGATAGGTCTGCAATCTGAAACATCATATCTAGAGAAAAATCTATATTTTTTGTACCTTTGAAACAGAGACAAATTTGTTAAATTAAAATGTGTCAAGCAACTATGCTACGTTTATTATTTTTAATGGGAGTAAAATACAGATGGGTTTTTGGTACAATATGAAATGATATCTAACAGTAAGTTTGCATTCCTATCAAACACTAACACAATCAACAGTAATCCAAAGAAACTAAATGACATTAACAGATGGCCCACATTGGCAACTCACTACATGCAACCTTTTGACAAATTCACCTCATAGTGAATAATTCTATGAAAGATAAAAGACCACCACTCCATTTTAGGTCCAGTACCAAAAGAATAATATCCATTACAACTGACACTTCAGGAATGAACTCAAATAGAAAAGGAGAGAAAGATTTGAAAACACTATTCTGAGAAGTAAATCAGTTGGCTCATTGAATGTGCTTAGGGATTTCACCTTTTCTTAAAAGGGAAAGAGAGTATTCTGCAGCATCAATGAGGTCAACAATGTTGTGCACTGACCGTTCCTCAGAACCCAGCAAAAAAATGGCACGTACCTCTGCCTTCTTAGCCATTCTTGCAGCTAAATTAAGTGGTAACTTTGGAGAGTTAAGGCTTCTCAGTATTTGGCGATACAATGAGAGAACCTTTCCTCTATTTCGGGCCAAATCCTCTGCTGTAGCCCATATCAAGCCCTTTGCCATCTTGCAGGACTGCAACCATAAATGAAAAGGAAACCAAAAGGGCGATGGGTCAGCAGCAGCAGCAGCAGCAGTGGTGGTAGTAGTTAGTAGTAGTAGTAGTAGTAGTAGTACTAGTACTAGCACTAACAATAACAATAATTCCAAATGCAGGGCCAGGAAGCGCAGAAACACAGACACTTCAACAAAAGAAAAATGCTTCACCATTTTTTCCTTCAAGAAGTGCTTCTCCGGGTGGGGGAATAACAAGGAAAGAAACTTTGTTGTGTTAGAAAAATTGCATCTACTCATTTCAATTGGAATGTTTCCTATGAAAAATGCAATCGTGAGGGCAGTTCAATAGGAAAAAAATAAAAGAGAGTGATGCTACCAAATATCAAAAGACGCCTACGGGCTGTAAAATTAGATAGCGGCAAATCAAGGTTGATCTCACAGAAAACTTAGTTAATCAGTAATTAGGCAATAAAAATTCTTTTTTCGTTTAAGTTGAGAAATCAAGATTGAATTTGAATTAAGTAAAATAAACTTGAAATTAAACAAGTGAGAGTTACCAATTAAGAATTGCAAAAGACAAAAAGAACAACCTAGAGCCACTAATCCATTGTTGATCCTTAGATTTTATCCCCACTAGATTAATTATACTTAATTAGTTAATCTAGAGTATTAGTAGTTAAAAGTGCTTGTTGGTCCACTTATAACTCTACCTCAAGTAATTATGTAATCTCTCACACAATTATATAAGGCGTAATTTAATCCAATTTCACTCAAATTTGATTATGCGGAGCCTCTAGGAAGATGTCTATCCTAGGTACAAATTAGATCAAATCCAATTCCATATTACTTAATCCCACGGTCTATCTAAGATTCCCTTCGTCAAGGTCAATCCTAAACTCCCAAAACAACTCAATGGTGGCCAAGCACTGAGCAGGTTAAAATTAAATACAAGATTGAGTAAACTAGAGTAAAGATTAAGCATAACCAAACAATGGGAATAATCTCTAAATTACAAACAACTTCGTAGTATCTAGGTTGCAAAATGAAATTAGCTACACATGACTAGTCAATTCAAATTCAGCAACAGTAATTCCGAAACAGGATGACATAATGGAATGGAAGAAGAATGTTAACAGTGGAATGAAAAATCTGAATACTGGAATGATGAAAGCGGAATGATTGTAAACCGGATAAGAACCCAGTCTCCAGCAACTGTAGCTCCGTTCCAGCTCGACAATGCTTCCTTCCTACTAGAACCAGTCGGTCCAGAGAAGAAGAAGAAACGTCAATGAACCAGAGTCGGTCTCCAGCTAAGCTCCAGCAGAAGAACGGCGCACTCCCCTCTCCACAATCCGATCGGCGGCCTCAAGAGGAAGACGACGGCGTCTTCCCTCAGGTCCAGCGAATCATAAAATTACCCAGAACAGTGCGGCCCAGTCCCTCCCGCAGCCAGCTTCTCAGCCGATGATGAACAGTCCCTAGGTCTCCAAAGTGGTCTCCCCAGAACGCTGCCGTCCTTTGCTGTGGACTTCCCGAAAACTTCATTCTCCCAAACAGTGCGTTGTTCAGCAGCTTCAAACTCTCCTCCACGGTGTCGTTTCTGGCAATAATGAAAGAGGGGAGAAGTAAAGATAAAATAAATAAAAACTAAAAAGAAAATAAAATAAAATTAAACTGAAATAATATAAGATAAATTTTTAATTACCGATAACTACTTTTATTTATTTAAAACCAATTCATTTACAATGAAATCCCCAAATCATGCTCAAAATTAAATCTTCCAATTAACTCTTAGAAATCTACTAAAATGTATTGATAACGCTCCAAAAATCACTTAAATACAATAATATCTTTATGGATGTTTATATATCTCTCATTATCTCCTATAATCTCTAATATATCTTATTATCTCTATATCCCACAATTATCTCCTATTATTATATAATCTGAAATAAAAGCCATGTATCATGTATTTAGGAACTCTTGAATAGAATGAGAAATACTCTCTCTTCTTCTATATTATTTTTCTCTATTTCTTCTTTATTTATAACACTTAAAATATTCTTTAAATATATTAAAAAATAAAGAGTTATCTGAGAGCGTAGCCAATGCAGCATTATTGAATTCTAATTCATCATGTTAGGATGAATTATTTAAAGAGAAGGGAGCATCAGCTGCGCCATTGTCGTTAACCAAGTCATTCTGATTTAGAAAGAAAAAATCTGTTAACTTTGGTAACTTCTAGCTATACCGGAAAGCATCACATCAAAGTAAAAAATAACCAACAAAATTTAGCATTTAAAATTCACCAACGTTGCATAAGTTACCAACCTTTTACTACCATTATTTGGAATTATTAGGGAAGTAGACAAATTCCAATGCTGAAGCATAACACGAACTAAATTATTAAACATCCAAACTGAATTCCCACTAAGAGAGTACCTCAATATTGCTTCTACTAAAAAAATATGCTTATGCATAGTATGAAAAAAAAATGCTAGTATTAAGAAGGCTTTGATGAAACATGACTGGATTCACATTAATCGGATCCTTGAAAAAATTGTTATATTAAAAATAGGGGGGGGGGGGGGGGACCAGAGACCCAAGACACTTGGCGAAGTAGTAAGGGTGAGATGAAGCATAAATAGCAACCTAAATTCAAATCTGTTGTAAATTAGTTACGTGGGACTGCACAATAATTTTTTTTTTTAAGAAAAGGGAGATATGAGAATATCACAATCTCAATATCTAGCTGCTAAATGAGAAGAATATGTGAATTTAACGAGGCATTAATTCGACCCTTGCCTTTAACAAGCATCAGTTTATAATAGTTTATTATTATAGCCTAAAAATATATATTTAAGGGATTAAACCTAAATGGGGTTTCTCCCTTCATATGGCAGGGTCGACAAATTTACAAGTAATGATTCGAATTTTCAGCTAATAACAAATACAAAACTGATATATATGACAAAGCATTCTATGATCTGCATGTCGTGACCTAAGCCCCCTTGAATGAAAGTGAATGTTCAGGAAAGTTCAGCTTCTGGCGTGATTGTTCTTCGCCTCTGAGTCAAGTTTGTGGTTGAATATTCACTATCACCATCAGAAGATCCAACACTTGAGACCGATGAAGCCGGGTTGATTGAGCCTGTTGCTGGATCGGGTCTCGGCGTTTGATTTCTGAATGCCTGGGAAGTAGCACTAGGGTTTTGTGTTTCTGTTCCTCCAGATGCTGCATGTCCCTGAGCTTCTTCAGCAAGACGCTTCAGAAGGTTCATGACTGTGGGAAGAAACTTGGATGATATAGACAGTAGTCCAGGCAGCTGCAACAAAATAAACAAGTTACGCAGATTTCAGCATCTTCCACCAGGCCCAAACAAATCCATTTTGAGCTCCTAGTTAAACAGTATGGACCCTAATCATCTGAGAAGAACAGGATGTAACCCGTATAAAACAGTTCAAGTAAAGCAAAAAGCCCGATGGTAATTTGTAAGTCATTCACTTTCTAGTTGGCAGGAGAAAAAAGTGCATCCAACTGGTGATGAAGGTATTTAAAACAGAGGTCACTTGTACTCACAGCACCATGTCGAAACTCTCCTGCAATGTCCATCTGCACCCATAAGGCCTTTCCAAGTAGATAAGCCACAAAATTACCATCAGGTAGAAAGGATTTCTGTTTCAGATAGAAAAGTCAGTGAATATAACCATAAGTTTACAAGTAGTTAACCACAAAAAACATTTTGGAAAGTGATATTTACTTTAGAAGCAGCATAAATTCATTAAAACCAAGCACAATCATAGCCAGTATAGCCCATGGTGGTGGTAGCCAATTGTTACTCTCTGCTTGTAAGCCTCCTGAACTCACACAAGAAATTTAAACAAAAATGAATAACAGTTTCGTTACTGTGCCTGGATTACTACCTAGGTAAATAGAGAAAAGAATGATGACCAGTATTTTGTAATAAACTGCAAGGGGAAAAACAAGAGGACAAAGAATACCAAGAATTAGTATCTACGAGCAAACAAGATGGATATAAGTCTAGGAAGCCAGAAAAACTATTGAAACACACGCACAAACTGAGTTTATCTATGGAAATGGACCCATTGAAGTACAAAAAATCCCGGCAAAAACAGCAACTAGGTGCAGAAGAATGGAAACCCAGAAATAGAGATAAAATGATCAACATGTCTGACTAGTATTCATCCCTATTCCCCTTACAACTTTGAGATCACTTCTGATAAGAAGGCCTTTGAGAAATCTCCACAAGCCCAAACAAGTCATAGAAGTGACCGAGGTATGTGAGCTAAATCCATACACTAACCCTATAACGTTTAGCTTTGTGGTTCAGTGCATTCAGAATAATAATTAAAAAAAAAAAATCTTAGCGCTTTGCATGGGCCTCTCAAGCCATATTGGCAGCAATTAGTAGAAATCAGAAAAATGGAACCCCATTCCCAGATTTGAAATGCATAATCATCAATTTTGCATCTGAAAATTCAGGCCCAATTTCATAGATGCTTCTTGTGCCTCGCCAAACATATGTGCAGGGATATGCATGCATAAAATTCACTACACAGAATGAAGCCGCCAACCCCAAAAAATTTGCATTGTATGTAGTCGTTACCGTCAAAGATCATAAATTCAAAACAAAGGTAAACTGAAATTTCATAAATTCTTGGAAAACCATTTTTTCTGGAATTACAGATGGAATTCCATTGTTTTAAAAAAAAAAAAAAATTGTGCACAGAAAAGCACAATCTAATGAACTACCTGTGCCGAAATAGCTTGGGTGACTGTATACTCAGTTTCTGCCTGGAACTGTCTCCACAAAGACTTGCACTGCACTGGAGTAATGAGTGTATCGCTTGGGGAAACCTATATTTGTAATAAATTCACATTTAATAATTTTGAGTTCATAATATCAAGGAAAACCACCTATATGCATTATATACTACCTCCTCCCATGAGCTAGCTGCTAGTGGGTCTGCAGAAGCTTCTCGACTTTTATTTCGTGAGGGATGTAACAGCAACAGTTCCATCCAGGAGAGATGATTGAAGCACATTTTCTATCTGATCTGGCTTTTCATCCAACCGTATGGCAGCTATATCTGATAGAAGTTTGAGGGACTGATACATGACCCAAGAAGATATTTGTTCAGTTTGAAACCAATAACTTCAAAAAGTTCCCAAGTGCACCCAAACCAGTGAAATTAGCATTCAATAACGCTACATTACCGCAGAACGGGCATCTTTTGTGATAGCTCTAATATCTTCCTTCCCAGTCCAAACCCTTGGGAGGGAGTCATTGTCATGAC